AGGGAGAACCCAACAATCCAAAGTTGCCTTTGGATTTACTGTCAGCAAGCAGTCAGCGACATTCAAGTTATTACACAAAAGAAGACTCATGAATTGAAGCATTGCTCACATTTTCTCCTGTTGAAGAAGAAATTTGACCCAGATTCACGCAGAAACTGTCCATTTTAGGTTGTTAAATAAACTAACAGTTAAAAAGATGTCAGGCTATTTTCAGTGAGAAGCAGCTTTGTCTTTAACTTCTAATCCTCTGTGGACAACACGTCCTTTTTGACTTTAAAAAGCTCTTTATAGCAGACTCTGGGCTCTACAATACTTTGGTGATTTTGTGTTTTCAGTAGTGAGAAAGCTGCAGTCAGAGTCACTCACCTCTCAGTGTTCATAGCCGTAGAGCTGCTCTGTCCTCTGGAACCGTTTTCCACCTGAAACAGCAGCAGTTACTGACAAACATCCAACCACAGCTGGCAGAGACAGAACTGATCAGCAGCCAGAAACAGAAAAGCAATCAAAGGCTGCGGCACAAAACACCGAATGTGACGAAACACAGATTTGAAAAATGCAGATAAAAGCAGATTTGTAGAATCCAGTAGCATCTCCTCACCTTCCTGGTTGGACTGGTTCTGCTCTGTGTGGGGTTGGGGCAGGGACAAGGCTCCTGGTTCTGAATAGGCGGGTCGGTCCTGGACAGACAGGTCCTCTCCTGCAGAGCGAGCAGCTCGGCCTGCCTCTTCAGTCGACTCTCCTGTCGGTTCCTCTGCAGAGCGACCGGGTAGCGCTCAGAGGCAGGGACGAAGCGACGGTTGGGCCTCCAGGATCAGAGGAAACACTGAATTAATGTCACTGTGGGATCTTATGCTGCGTTCACGACCTGTTGGAGTTTCTGTGATCAACAGTCTCCCACTGTGAAAGCTTAGTCTTTTCTGGACGCTCAAAGAAATCTGACTTGTGTTGAAAAGAGAAGCAAAAACAAACAAATGTGGATGTCTGACTTCAGCCAAAGCCTGTAATTAAATAAATATGATTAAAAGGTAATTACTGTTTGTAATTTGTAAGAAAAAGCTAATTAAACTCTAAAATGTTTATCTTTAACCCTCACATGTACAACTTTGTGGAAAAGCAACTGTCACTCAGTGTTATTACGTCTAATTCAAATTACATTCCTCTACAGAAAATATTCAAAGTATTTTACAAAATAACTGACTTGTTACCCAGGACGTCGTTTTAAGTAGTGTAATTAACATCCACATCTAATGAGTTTTGTTATTGTTTAACCCTATGAAGCCCAACACCTGCTGGCAGGTTTGAAGGGCATGTTATCTATGAAAGAATAAATAAATTACACTATTATTATCAGAGCTAGAAACTGCAAAAGCAGGAAGAATCATTTGATTTTCAACCCTCCAACAGTTCCTAAACTACTCATCATCTGTGACATGCCGATCTGTCAGCAAAAGGAACCAAATCTAAACTTAAAATCACAACATTTCATTAAAACCACTTTATTCTACACGTCTCATTCAAAAATGTGCAAAACAAGCAAAAACCCCTCATGCAACAACAGTTTGCTCCTCACTGCAATAAAAAGTCCTGCCCCTAGATGGAAACAGTCTTTTGTTCAGTTTCACACAGCATCGACCATAAAAAACAAAAAACACAAAAGTTGATTGTTTGTTATTAATATTATATATTTGTTTGATTATTTATTTTGCAAAAAAATAAAAAATTGTAATGTATAACTCGTGCCCCACTGGTGTTCCCACACTGGGGAAACGTATACTCTATAAATATTTTACCACTTAGAGTTGTGAATCCTGAATTTTTGTCACAACACTGTGGTTCTCAGCTGAGTCACTACTTGCTCCACATTTGTTCCAAGGAGCACAGAATTTTTTTGTTTTTTCCAAAATCTGATAAGAGCAAAAACTTTATTTTTGCTACATTTTTAAATACAACATATAGAATAAAATGATGCTGATAAATTTCACAATTTTAGGCTTACATTCAGTTAATGTTCTGTCACAGATGAGCAGTTCAAGGACTGTTGGAATGTTGAACATCCACCACTTCTCCATGTTTGTACAGTTTCTTGCTCTGATAAATGGGGTCATTTGGGCAATTTTTAAATGATAGCATGCTTTTCACACCTGTTGCTTTTGGAGTTCAGAGGGTTACATATGGATTTAACCTCAGATCCTGTTCACATACGATGTATTTAATAAAGTCTAGAAGTTATTTCTGCTCTTCAGAAACAGCATCCGGTGGTGTTTTCAGCTGCAGCTACAGTTTTCCACCGCTGTGATGGTCTGTGTTTGTACCTCTGTGTGTTCCACTCTGGCCTCTTCTTGTCTCTCCTGGCGAACGCTTCGTACGGGTCTCCTCCCGCTGGCAGACAGATGTTCTCCTTCCCTGCTCTCGCTGCTCGGCTCCTGCTGTTCGGAGGAGCGGTGGCTGGAGGAGGAGGAGGAGGACGAGGAGGAGGAGGTGGCGGCTGGTACTGTGCAGAGATGTCGGGAGTCTGAACTCTGTCTGCAGTGAGAGACAGAGCTGCATCTGCACACAGAGAGAAGTGATACGCTATCAGACAGTGTGGAGGCAAAATGTACTTCACTTGGAGCAGAGTGGCTGAAAGCAGGAGGGACAGAAAACAAAGCGGTTGCAAAATAAGCTGCATGAGCTGGAAAGACTCTCAATGTAACCAAAAACACCATGTCGTATGTGCTGCTTACATAACTTTGCTGTGCAGGTGTAAAACAAGAATTTACACAAACATCAGTGCCTGGATGAGGAAATCTAAAGCTGGCTTACTTTTATAATGAAAGACTAATTACTCTTATCTAAACGTCCTGTTTGGCAGGTATATAAGGTTACTGAGGTGCTGCATGCACATCGGTACTGTTACTGATTATTCATGACTGACAGTAGAGCTCCAAAAGGCACAAATACATTCAGACTTTTTAAATATTTATGGGTCTGAAGTTAATTAATTCTTATGGCAGACGACTCCAAGTCAAGCCTCCACCTTTTAAGGTAAATGGAGGCTAAATAAACCTGCTCCTAATGATCTATGTGACAGTAAAGCTGTGAACACAACCTTTCATTGCCTCTAACTTTTTCTGTGCTCAGTCAATGCAGCTACGGTAAATAATCAGTGCTGATTTCTTTAGATGACGTTTTAATAAAATTATAACAAAACTAATTACCCAATTTGTTTAAAGTACAAGAGCAACAGTGAAGGAAAACAGGTATAAGAGCTGTGATGAAATCCTAATTTCATGCTGTCTGACAGCAGAATACATACAAAAATATGAATGAGAGGATCTAGTGTGGTTTGTGGACGCATTTACGTTCAAATAGTGTTTTACAGAAGCACTACAATTTCAGCATTAGCTGTAGCAAAAGGAGCAGTAGTAGTAGATGGTAGTCACAGTAGTAGCAGCGGTGTTATCTGTGTAGTCGTATCACCTGTTTGTACAGCAGAGTCTTTATATGAGGCAGCTGAATTGGTGGCATCCTCCAAACCCTCGGCCTGTTGGGTAACTGCTGAACACAAACAAGCACACAGTTATAGAGTGATCATTACAAACACCTGCCTGTTTTAAAGGTCCCATTGTGCCCTATAAATAACTGAAAGTCTCACATGTCCCTCGAATGCATCTTTCAGTTTTTCAGCACAAAATACCACAACGATGGTCCTTTTCACCATGAATGTATAACTCCTGCTTTTAGTCCTGTTCTGAACGGGCTGTACATACAGCGCTGAACATAAAAACACTTCAGATTCTCAGCTGCCTTTGACAGGCTGATTGAAACATGTGTTTGGGGTCAGTTTTTAAATCTGCAGTGCATTAATTCTGTAGTAAGTGCTCACCACTGGGCTCCAGCGTCTCTTGCGATCCACTGTCATCGTGTCCTTTCTGTGGCTGCTCTGCTTGATGAACTGGCTGCTCCTGAGGACACACAGTACAGCAGTGATACAGGTGCAGCTACAGTCAGTTCACGAGAAAACTGACTAGATGTAGAAACATGACTGATAAATAAGGAATGGTGCAGCTTTGCTCCCTGACCTTCTGCTTTTCTCTCAGTGTGTCCATCTCGTACTGTCTCTGCAGCATCTCCCTCTCCAGTGCCACCCTCCTCTCCTCCGCCTCCTCCTCCTGCCTCCTCTTCGCCTGCTCTCGTTCCCTCTGCTGCCGGCGCTCCTCCATCTGGGCTTCGATCGCTCGCTGGAGAAGCACGTGTTAGAAGGAGATGAAGTTAAAACATTTAGAAAAGGTAAAAGTGTATTTTACTTTCCTCCTGGTGTACTGCACCTTCTCATACCTGCTGCTCAAGCTGTTTGAGCCTCCTCCTTTCTCTCTCCTCGATCTGGGCGGGGTCCAGCAGGGAGGTCATGGTCCTCAGATAGCTGCATGAAAAACAGGGAGACATAAAAACACTGAATATATGTTGAGATTTGATGCTCACAATGTGTCCTGAAGCTCAGTGACAGCAGATCAATTGGGTGGGAGAACAAGGGAGCCCATGAGTGCTTCAGAGGTGGGAACTCAGCCAGAAACTGAGCCACAGCTTTGTAAGTGACAAATAAGATAAATAAGTCCCAGGGAGAGTACAAATTTATCAAAATGCACCCTTAGTAAAAAATAAAGACTATGTTAAATTTCTAATTCAGACAAATCTGCATAGAGGGTGAATGATAAAGCATCACTGCATCCCTTTCAATAATAGTGTATATCTTTTATACTAAAGACAAAGTTTTCCAAGCTGTGCATTCCTCTGTCGATTTTTCAAACTTTCAAATTTGACATCTTAGTACAAATAGACGCTCATTGAGTAAATAAACTTATTGGAAACTGTTAACAGGTATTTTACATTCTGAGTATGTGTGCTGCTATTATGGTGTCAAATAATTGGCAAAAGTTTGTAGCTCTGGGTGATGTAGCTAAAAAATAATTTTAAAAAAATCAAATCAATTAACACCAAACCCAGACGAGTTAGTCTAGAGCTGCCACGTTTAATCAATTAATTGATTGGTTGTCCACTATAAAATTAATCGCCAACTATTTGGATAACCAATCAATCGATGTTAGGAACTTTTTAAGATAAAAGAAGCCCGAATTCTCTGATTCCAGCTTCTTAAATGTAAATATTTTCTGGTTTCTTTATTCCTCCATGACAATAATCTGCGGGTTGTGGACAAAAGAACACATTTGTTGTCTTTGGCTTTGAGAAAGTGACATTTGCCCCCATTTTCTGACATTTTTCATTCTTAGTTGCAGCCCCGTTCAGTGCACCAAAGCTGTATTAACATCTTTGACGAAAGAAAACCGGTGCTACCTAAACTAAGGACATTTCTGCATTTTCTGGAGCCTATCCCAACTGACTCAGGATGAAGACAGGGGACACCTGGACAGGTGACCAGTCTATCACAGGGCTCAAAAGGGAGATAGGGTCCTTTATTCATAGACTTCTGTACAACCAGATTTCTTTACAGAACTAAAGAAGTCACCCTTTGCCTTCTTTTGTTAGTCTCACTTCACTAGCCCATGTTTTAGAACAAAATGATCTGGCTTTCACATTGTTGCTCGGGCTTGTTTGTATTTCTTTAAATCACTATCAGTCATCGTGGGCAGAGCTTAGCAAAGGATGTGGCTTCAGTGGTACCTCAAAATAGGGACAAGTGGAATTGTTTTGGTGGAAATTTTTATGCAGAAAGATGAGTGCCATCAGTGAAATGGATAAATCACCCCAAAGAACAAGTAGCCGAGCCTACTTCTCGTAAAAAATTGGAATTTTCAGTGTGGTAGGTTGCTGCATGGAGGTTGTTGGTGTTTCCCGTAGTGAAGAAAACTAACTCACAGACAAAGCTGACTGAGATGATCGGTGGCTTATACCCACATCCTCCACCCGGTAAGTTAGACTAATCATTTATACACAGTGTACATCTTTTCATCTTCCATCCCTGCCTCCTACCTGGTTCTGGTCGGGAATCCACTGACTGTATCCACACTGACTCCCCCGACACTCTCTGCTCCACAGCTGCTCATGGCCTCCCACACCAAGGACAGGCTGGACGTCGGCTCCCACTCCCCTCGCTCAGAGCCGCTGAACTGAGCAGGAGGTGGAGCTGATGGAGCTGCAGGCTGGAGGGGTGGCCTCCTCTGCAGTGAGTCAAAGTGTGTGGCCCAGAGTTCCACGTTCTCTGTCTGCAGATACATCCACATGTTACTCATGAAGGTAAAGCTAGAGACCAAAAATCCACCTGTCCGGTCTCTGCTGTACCTGGCTCTGCAGCAGCTTCTCTTGCTTCTTCCGTTCAGTCGTCTCCTCTCGCTGCCGGTCCAGCTCCTCCAACCAGCGCCTCCTCTGCTCCTCTTTCCTCTCCACACTCAGCACCTCCTCCATTGGAGTCACCTCCTGAAGAGACAACATAGTTCACACAATTAGAGCAGGACTGTTTTGTACATCAGAAGATCCTTGACCCTTAGGTGTTAATTTATAAATTTATATAGAGGTCTTTCAAGTGTCAAAAAAACGCCATAAGAATATTAAATATTATTAACATGTTACACTTTCAATTCCCTTTTTTTGTAAATATACATCAGTCCTGACTACAACTACCAAATATCCATTAATGGTGAGGATTTTAACCCTTTAAATGCTCGTTTGTTTTCATGATGTCATGTTGTTTTTAATGAGAATAATAATAAGTGAATATATTTTTTTTATTATTATTATTATTGAATTTCCCTTCTGGGATAAATAAAATATTTTTCATTTCATTTCATTCATTACAGTCTGGGTTGTGTCACTGATGAGCACCACCACTGACTTTGATGCTTCACATTTTTTTGTGTAGTGTGAGGTGTTGTTTTTTAAAATGAAAACTCACATTCGAGACCTTAAAGACAAAAATCATATTTACCCCGAGTCTGAGGCTGGATCTGATGGCAGCAGGCTGCTCTCTGTGGCTGACACAGCTCTGAACTGATAACACGCTGTCTGCATCCTCCTCAGCCTGAAACACACAGATCATGACACATTTTATACGCCTAACACCTCTGAATCAAATCTGACCTTGTGTTAGTCTGTTCTTCTCAGGTAACCGTTTTAATTATTATTGTTATTCTTGTCAAATATCCAACTCAGTCACCAGAAATGCTGCACCATGATCTGACATAAAAGGTAATTCAGTAGTAAAACAAAAAAAGAAGAGAAAACGGGATGGTTTGTTTTTTTTGTTTTTTTAATAGTATATGGCAATATGAATTATTACCAGCCTACCTGTCAAACAAATGTATGCAACATGAATAAATATTCATCAACCTGCTCCTCCATCCATCCATTATCTATACACCGCTTAATCCTCACTAGGGTCGTGGGGGGCTGGAGTCTATCCCAGCTGACTCAGGATGAAGACAGGGGACACCCTGGACAGGTCACCAGTCTATCACAGGGCTACACTTAGAGACAGACAACCAAGCACACTCACATTCACACCTACGGACAATTTAAAATCACCAATTAACCTCAACGTGTTTTTGGACGGAAGTCGGAGAACCCAGAGAGAACCCACGCTGCTCGGGGAGAACATGGAGACTCCACGCAGAAAGATCGGTGCCCCCACCCATCGAGCTGCGAGACAACAGTGCTAACCACAGAGCCACCTTGCAGCTCAACCTGCTCCTAAAAGCTACAATTTAAACTCCAGTTATTCTTTCTTTTTGTACCATATTTTGCCTCAAATCAGAGGCAGCAGCACCACATTTTAGTATGAGGAGCAGCTTTCTTTGCATACCTGTAGTCTGCCCGGGGCCGAACAGTGCTGCTGCTGTTTCTGTGCCACCTGCTCATCTGACACACAAACAGAGACACAAACACTCAGTTCATTTTTCAGTTACGTTAACGTTGTGTTCATAAGTGATTCTGCCTATATAAAGCTTCTATTAGGGCTATTACTTTATAAAATACTCATACTTAATGATTAAAATAAAGTATGTTTTCAGTCAACCAAGATTGTCTTTGGCTAACTACAGTTTCCGTGGGTTTGTCACTTTCGTTAGTATAAATATGGATTACTAAAGCTTTAAAACACTTGTGTGTTTGTGTGTGGTTGTGTACCAAGTTCTTTCTTCCACTGAGCCTTCTTGGCGTCGATGGCTGCCCTGCTGTCTGACTGTCGCTCCTCCAGCCAGCTGAACAGACATCCAGACAACCTACAGCAGCGACAAATCTTATGTAATCTTCAACCACCACTTTTAAATGTACACATTTTTGACCTGCTGTAACAGACTGATATGTGCTCAACTTTCTGTCTCACAAAAGTCTGAATTAGAATGATGCAAAAAAGGGTCCTCCTCTCTAATGCAATTAAACTGAACAACAAACATGTTTTTGAGTGAAGACGTGCAGAAGCAGCTCGGACTATTGCTGCTGTTGGTGAAGTGAAAGAGTGATGTTAGAGTCCTATACATTTATTGTCATCATCTCAATAAATATTTTAATGTCTTTTTTGTGGGATTACATCCAGAGATCTGTACAACTTGTAGAAATGTGTTGCGCTCCTCACCTGCTGTCTTTTTCTTGTGAGCTTCCAGGTGTATCTGCTTCTTCTCCTCCCTTCTGTACTGCTTCCTGTCTTCCTCCTTTGTCTTCCTTTTTCATCTCTCCTCCTCCTTCACTCACTGAGGAACCACATTTTGAGTTCTGAGTTGGATTTACTAACTGAGAAAAAGACCTGAAGTTTGTATCCTCCAGCCCACTTTGTGGTGCAGTCCCAGTCAGGCCATGATCTCCACCTCTTCCTTGTGTCTGATGGTCATCCGGTAGGTGTTGACCATTGCTGGAGGTCTGGACGGTGTTGAGGATCTGCTGCAGCTGTTCACTGGTCAGACACACCATGTTTTCCTTCAGTCCTGTTTCTAAACTGGTCAGCGCTTCCTTAAGTCCAGCCTTCCCACCAACTCGAGTCCCAGTGTTCTGAGCCGGTCCTGTTTTCCCATTAACTCTGAGGGGTCCGACTGTACTGCTGTGTTTGTGTCTGTCTGTCTTCACCTTCAGCACATGGACACAAACACACAAAAGCAGTTAGAAGATGATAAATGACCAGTAAAGCAAACACATGCATTAAAAGAGTCAATATTTTGCTTTCAGGTTTTATTCCTTTTTTAAAGTGTGGTGAAAACCTGAAAAAAGGCTCAAAGTCCTAACCTAGGGCAGTTAGCAGCTGTGTTTTCATATCACTGTCAAGAGAATTTGAAAGAAATGTTTGAGAAGGAGCCAATAAACAGAAAATGTGAATGAGCTGCATCAGAAGGTGACAGAATAGACTACGTTACGCATGGCTGTATAAACAGAGTAGAAGAAGCTGAAAACAAAACCTGGGGTGTGTTCCAATATCCATACTACCATGCTATATAGTACGCCACAAAAAGATGTAGTGTGTCCCAATACAGAGTATGTCAAATGTCGTACGCTAAAAAAGCATCAATGTTTGCCAATTGCTAAAAAAAAAAAAACCTTGAGGAAAATAAAGAGAAATAAAACTTTGGTCATTTACAAGGATATTGTAAAACATTTATGTAATAACAACAATTACTGCAGAATGTAATTATTCTTTCATGTCTGCTGGTACTGGTCGTGTCACCAGTTAACCTCAACATGTTTTTGGACTGTGTGGGAGGAGAAGCCGGAGAACCCAGAGAGAACCCACGCTGCACGGGGAGAACATGCAAACTCCACGCAGAAAGATGCTGGGTGTCCTCACCGGGACGCGAACTGGCAACCTTCTTGCTGTGATGCGACGGTGCTAGCCCCAGAGCCACCTTGCAGCCCCATATCCATAGTTCAGAATTTCAAAAAAAGTTTCAAAGAAATCAGCGACAGTTGCACTGAAGGTCCCTGATTTAAGATGGAATAGCTCCATAGTTGCTGCTTAATTGACATATTGTGCAGCCCTACTTAATATATTAATTAAAATCACTGAATTATGGTGTCTCCCAATGTTTGACTCTATGTTCAAGCACTTTTTACAGAGTACAACATGACTCTTACCTTGGCCACCACTTTACTGCCGCCCCCTTTGTGATGCTCATGTGTCTTGCATGAAGTCAGAGTGGTGCTCCTCCCCTCAGTGGCGGTGGTGTTGGAGCTGAAAGAGGCAGCTGCTCCTCCGGCTTTACTCCTGGCCTCTCGGTGCCTCCCTGCCAGCTGCCGGGGCCGACGCTCCTCTCCCTGCACCTCCTCCACGCAGGACGGCTGCCTCGAGCTCAGTACATTCGGTGCTCTGGGCCTGAAGGACGGCTGCTGGGAATTCATAAGATGAAACAAAACTATGATGCCAGGATAGTTATTGATTATTACAAACAAAAACCTGCGCTGTACACTCTCTCCAAGAGTGTTTGGACAACCATATATAGAAATGTAATGAATAAACTGTGAATATAATTCCTACCTTAGCAGCATTTTTCTCAACACCTGCAGTTGAAGAAAAGTGAGACAAAGAATAGAACTTTAGAGCTATAAACTAACTAACTATAGAGCAGCCATGATTATTACACCACACACACACACACATTCATATTCAGTTGTACCTCTGTAGGTCTGAAGCAAGGCAATGCTGAAACTTTTTTTTTGGTCAACTGAAACATGCATCTTATATTAAACTAAATGTGCAAGAAACAAAACTAAATGTGTTTAATTTTAGGACAGAACTGGCACTCAAATGTGTGATTTTCTGCCACTTGATTGATTAACTGTTAATAAACTGAATAATCAATTAATTATATAAATGAGTGACCAGTTCTTGGGAACAGAAAGAACACAAAAGCTGAAAGGTCTTACCACGACTGAGTAAAATCAACCTGGGTTTTCCATTTTCCAGTTCAAACAGCAGACCGTCTCTGTTCACAAACACAAGAATGATTAGAGCACAACAACGCAAAGCAGAGAGCAAACTTGTTTGGTTTTCAGTCACCTGGCTGCAAAGATCAATACTGTACTTTCCTCTGCTCTTAATTACAAGTTGATCAATAGTTTCGGCTTCTCACAAGCAGCAGTGTGTAGTCCACTTACACTAGTCAGATGATTTGGAGTTGCTAACAGCTGCACGTAATACAAATTTCTCCCTCTAAACTTCTTGCATGGTTTAATTGCAACAAACAATCCAATATCTCACTAATAAACACTTTATTACCTGCAGGAGTAATTATTGCAACACTCTGCTGTCTGGTCTCCCCAGTAAGAAAACATCTCAACTTTAATTGCTTTAAAACTCAGCAGACCCCCAAGGAAAGCCCACATTTTAATCTCAAGTCTCTGCACTGGCTACCTGTGTGTTCATTTTAAGATCTTTGTATTTGTTCATAAAGCCTTCAATGGTTTTGGTCTCACTTATTTATTGGATTTGCATTGATCCTAGGAACCACTAGTCTCGTGGTAGTGGGCTTTCATTTCTACTAAAGGTCCAAACAAACACTCATGATAAGTTAGCGTGTTGTTATGTTCAATGTCTCTGGAAGAGCCTTACTGAGGACCTGAGGGCAGCAGAGAATGTTGACATTTTTTGAAACACAAACTAAAGACCTACCTTTTTATTCGGACTCTTAATTGATGTTATTCTTTTTGTTGTGTTTCTCATTTTTCTATCTAAATTTTATTAATATTTTTTAAATTGTATTTAGCTATTCTGAATTTTGGCTTATTCTGAGTCTGGTTTGATATTTATCTATTTATAACAGCATTTCCTCAGTTCCCTGTATAGAAACTGGATATAAAGTAGTTTAAAGCAGCTCCAACTGTAACATGCTGCTGACACACTAATGCTTCACTATCAATAACTAATGATATCATGTATAAAAAACAGCATACTTGACAGAGGGACCAAACTAGGACTTTTACTTCAAAACTTTAACTACACTTTCCTGCTATGTACTTTTACTTGGGAATGCTTTTTCATAAAATGTAATAGAGTATCTTCATATTAAGTACTTTTATCTAAGCAAAGTATCTAAATATTTGTTTCATAATTGATCACAGAAAAACTATTAATTCAGTTCAATCACGTTTAACTAGCACCAATTTACATCATATTTCTAAATTACCTTCCAGCTACAACCAGGTTTACCCAACAAACTGCAAAGATGAGTGCATTAAACATAATTATATTCTGCTTTGTGGCTTGGCCTGTTTAAGTTCTGATTTATGAGGTTACTTCACACCTGCAGTCCATTGGTGTCGCTAAGGGGTCTGTCAGTGTTTTATTTCAACAATCCGACAACAAGACCCAACCTCTCACCCCAAAATCCATTCAAAATAAACACCTTTAGTTACATGTAGAGAGCCTTGTCATTTTCTTTTGTTTACTCTGCATGTCGGTTGCCCTTGACTCCTTCACAGCTACACAGCTCTGTGTTTCAGTTATCTATACAACCGCTCGTGTCCTACTAAAAGTACACATGATCAGGTGTTGTGCCAAAAACTGATGACCACACAGTTGATGTGCATCTACAGCTGCTTGTATGTGGAGCAAACAGTCATAACATGCAAATACACAAAACTGTACCTGTGGTGACAGCAAAGGTTTGTCTGTGTGAAACTTTAGCATTTCTTGTAACTGAATAATTGTGACCAAAGAAATGCTTGCAGTGTTAATCAGGCCTGACATTAAAGATTATACTAGAGATGCAATGAATAATCAAGCAGTTTGTCAACTATTACATTTTATCACCGACTTTTTTGGTTGGTTGGTTGGTTAGAGTATTTTTTGAGGAAAAAGTCAAAATTCTCTAATGACAGCTTTTTAAAATTTGAATATTTTATAGTTTCTTTAATTCTTTATGACAATGAGCTGAATCTCTTTGGTTTGTGGACAAAACAAGACACATGAGGACGTCATCTTGAGCTTTATGACTCTGATTGACATTTTTCAATATTTTCCGAGTTTTTACAAGCCAAATAACTAATAAATTTATTGTGATAATAATCAACAGATTAACCAACAATGAAAATAACGAATGAAATTCATTTTGACGCATTACCAACATTTCTGTCACAATGTATGTGCCACAGGCACTTTTTGGCAAGAGGAAAATTGCATTAAATGAGTTGAACTGGTCCTTTTAAGCTATTTACCTGGTATAATAATACTAAATTGGTTCATGTAAAATACAGAGGAGATAAAAATTATAGAGCGACATAAGGATAATTGCTTTTAAGGACTAAAATCGGTGTTTGGCACAACATCTGTCGCAAAATGTAGTTAAGGTATTACAGTCAACGTGCAGACGTGGCCCCTCTGACTAACATATTATTATTAGTGTAGCATCAGCGTTTTAGCAGCATATTACTGTGATTTACAGTCCAAAAGCTAAAAATAAAAAATCCTTTCTGTGCATTTCACTGCGACACATTCTGTTAGCCTAGCTAGCTAGCTAACGCTACTGTAAGAAAACACACTCACCCGAGATTCATACCGACAGAAAACACAAGCCGAGGCAGTGGCCCGTTAAACTGCAGCCCTATAAAATGCAAACACACGCCTTGACATAATTTACAGCTTTACAGTCGCACTATTATCTGCCTCCGACTGACTGCGCCGACCAACACACGCCATTTACTGCTAAATTGTGTACGTCCGTTGCTGGCAACGACCAACAACAGCTTCTCCGATTTGCTGACTCTTTATTGTCTTTGAAATCAACAGCCAATCAGACGTCTTCATTTGGACCTTTCGCTATACGGTGCTGCGTTTAAAGTAACTGGGAATTTAGTCCACTCAGATTCAAATTCAGTACGGTGCGTTTAAAACACCAGAGTCAAAGTGTTTTCTACTAGAGAATTAAGACAACTGTCACAAACGTACCTAACAAATTTATCAAATTCATTTAAAGATCAAGGTTAAACCCTGAAATATGATATATTACATACATTTGCCGGACCAATTTTAAACGTATTCGAATGTACCTTACTGAATTAAATATGCAGATTGAGACCGTACAATAACATCCATCCATCCATTATCTATACACCGCTTAATCCTCACTAAGGTCAGGAGGATGCTGGAGTCTATCCCAGCTGACTCAGAGCGAAGGCAGAGGACACCTGGACATGTCACTAGTCTGTCGCAGGGCTCCTACAATAAAATTATTTATATAAATGTACGTGATTAATTTCCATTTTAAGGTTAAGACCCTATATAGTTATTTATTATATGACTTTACCTGACCTAGATATCCCGGTAAAGCCCCTATAATATAATATATTGTGCAAAATTTACTAAATTAAATATCAAGGTGAAAAACCTACATTTTATTTATATGCAAATCTACCATAGACTGTATAGACACGCGTCATCTATCTTTATTTATTCATATACTTTTATATAAAGTCTATGGAAACTATAAAGAAGAATATGCAGATTTGTACTACCTGAGAACTTGAAAACTTAGGGTCAGTTCTATAATACAAAACTAATTTTTAACTTATTAGCTACAAATATGTAAATTTCATATAAGTACTGGTTTTGTTATTGATAAAAGTACGATTCATTTTTATTACAAACTGCATCTCATGTTCATCAAATTAAAACAAGGAGTGAAATTTGGCTTACTTATAGACAAGAAGTGTGAGAACAAGTAAGTGTAAAATTTAGAGGTTTTTTAAATTAATATTTAATTTATTTTTTAAAGTGTTTTTTAATTTATATTTTCGTAGGGTCAGTGTAAAACAAATATAAAAAGTAAATTTCCATTGTTATAGAAGTAAAGCATTTTCATAATTTTACAGGTAATTGCCTATATATATATAAATGCACAACTGTGTTCTTCAGTTTAAGGTATGTCATGTTTACACACTTTTTTATTCCACTGTTAACCACAACTGATGCTACATATAATGGGCCTGCAATCTTCAGTATTATAGCATCGAGGGAATTCACTCTAGGTGAATTTCATGTGTAAATGTGCAAGTGAGGTATTACATATTTAAACATGCCTTAATTTGCAATAATGTCCAGATCAGAAATCTGCACACTTGATAAAGCAAGCTTTGTTTGTTTGTTTGTTTTGTTCCATTTTGTTTACATGCAGTTTTAAGGTTTCTACAGTGGGGGTTTGGATATCTCTTTCTAACGTTGTCATCAACCAGAAAAAAATCTATTCTCACCATGTTGTTGCAAACAAAATGTTCTCTAAATCAGGCTATGACTGCTATATGAACAAACCTGTCTGTTAAACATTCAGAATATGGACAGGAATAAAACTGGACAGTTTGGTTTCTGTAGGTGCTACTGAACAGAAAACGTGTAGCTCAGAGAGAAAAGACTCATTCTGAGAAAGCTGTTTTTAAAGATATGTATTATAATTGAAATCTACAATCGGAATTAAAAAAAACACCTAAATGTGTATTTTGGATGTTTCCTTTCCACTTGTCTGAAAGCTGACATGTCGTTGAAGTAAAATCCGTTTTGCCTGTAGTGTCTCAAACTCTGGTTCCTCAAACTATTTGGTCAAAAGGATCTATTCATGAATTTTTCCTTCACTGATTGTCTCGGTGACACTTAATGATGAGAGTGACTCTCATGACTGACAGTGTTGTGTTTAAATCCTTTTACATGACCCACACGTTTCTGCTGCTGGAGGTCTTCACCTGTTGGCAGAAGCCCTGAATGCAGTCAGGAATCAAAACACAAGCCCCAAAAGCTTCTGGAAAGTTTTAATCTCACTTACTTTCACTGTTCTAACAAACAGTCAGGATGATGTCAAATGCAGAAAATGCTGCTAAATAAGTCCAATCAATCACCAAAGGCTAATATCCATGATGGAGTATCATGATACTGAGAGGACACGTGGACCATTGCCGCTTGAGACTCGGTGACGACTGTTACAGGGATGTTTGACGTGGTGCTGAAAACAGGGATGACGTAAATGTGCATGCAATTCTTTACCAACTCTTTAATTGTGAAATGAAACAAACCAAAGACTAAACATGGCGTCTTTTCTATAACACACACACACGTTCAACAGAGCTTCCCACCAGAGCAGCAGCTCCACTGCAGGCAGAAGTGTTGGGCTCAATAATACTGCTTAAGATGCTCCTGACATTTCAAACTGTGTCTCATAACTTCTCAACATTTTTAACAATCGGGGGAAACATGTAAAAGACAAAACATTTACCCACACATATGGGCAAAGGTACAATAAAAAAATAAATTATTACCTTGATAAACCAAAAATAAAATATTCATATTTGCTCTCTTTTATTTCAGCTCCTGTGGCTGAGTGCCTGTTGCTGTCCAGCAGGGGGCGGCGCTGCATCACGGCCAGGGACTTGTTGAGGGAAGCATAAATGGACGAATACTATTGGCTAACATTGTCTGATCTGGACCAATCAGAGAAGATAAATGTAGCCCATTCTGCTGACAGTTACAGGATAATTTGTTCGTATACATATATATTTATAAATATATATTCAAAATGTGTTTTTGAGGCAGGGCTGGGTGACAAATCTGCATTATTATGCAAAACGATCCTGTGAAATTAAATTTTACTATAATCGAAAACAAAATTGTTGAAAGAATAACATTTTCATGAAATGAATGAGTTAACTTCTATTAAAGAGATTTATATTATATATCTTTATAATATATATATATGTGTATATATACATGTCAGAAAAATATTATTCTTATGAAATATCCTTCATTATTCAGCTGAATCACCCAGCCCCAACTTCAAGAATAAAGATGGTGCTACTTTTTATTTTGTCAACAGATCCCATGAAAAGACCACGAGGCTTACTAAGTATCTGCTTTTAGAATTTGTGATCAAATCAAATGACCCATTATTTCCATTTTCTGTGCATTTCTTGTGTATTTTGTTACCTAAAGTTCAATCTTGACCTAGTTTCACGCACAGGCTCTATTTAGTAGCTTGTTCTGTAGACTTTAGTTTTACACCATGAATGTTCTGAAAGCTTTTTACAACGGAGCAGCTCCATCTGCTCCAGAAGGGCCACCAAATGAAATCAAATACTCCTACATTTATTCAGTTTGTTTAAAAAAGGAATTTTTTTAAGGAGGGACTATTTTCAGAAGCAGATTATCACACATTTGTTGCTCTGGTGAGTATTTACAGCAGGAAAATGGTGTGTAGGTGTGTTTTTATCAGGCTGTTCATGAGATTTGTTGACAACAATAAAATTAGCATCACGAGATGAGACTTGGAAAAGTGACACTTATGCTTCCGATATTACACAATAACCCAGAGGATGGTTTCACAGGACACCAACTACTAATGTGTGTGTTTTTTTTAAATTTATCCCCAAGAACAGACTTACAGCATTTTAAAGATTATCTATATTCTCTCCATGAAGCCTACTTCTACTTCTGTTGGATCTCCCTCCCTACATGACAACGATGCCCTCTGCAGGCCGGGGGGCAAAACATCGCCATCTTACATTGCCATCTATTGCTTTAACAGATGCTTGGATGTGTTTGAGTGCGTCTTTCGATAAAGGAGTAAGTTTAACTGTCCAAGTTTAGTTTTTGTGGAGAAATAGGAGTGAGGGGAAGATGTGGGGATCAGGGAGTGTGGAGAGCGGAGTAACGTGAGCATTGGCCAACGTCAGTTCCCTAGGATTCAGCTGACCGGTAGATGAGACAGGACGCACCGTCCCACATTGCTGTCAAACAGCTTCACAGGCAGCTGCTCCCAGGACATATGAGAGTGTGTTTGTCTATCTTTGTGAGGACCGCTTTGAGTTTCAGATTTCAGGAGTGGAGACATTCTTTCGTTTGTTCCAGTTAAAGAGGGCATTTTGCACTGCAATGTTTGAACTTAAATGTGCTCGAAGTCTGTTTTCAAAATTGCGTGAGTTTGATGATTTGTTCTAAGGCTACATCCACAATAATACGTTTTCATTTTTTAAAAATGAAAATAATCTCTTGAGGCCAAATCAAAAAGTGAACATGGGTGTCTTCAAAGTCTGTTTCTGTCCAGACTGAAGCGCAACTCCAGATTTTTCAAACTAAATCAGGTTCAGCCGTGTTCCCAAAAGTCTCAGTTTTAGGGGTTCTTAAATGCCACGAGTGCTTTAAAACTTCTAAGTGTGGCTGCAGCGTAAAATACAAAAATACATGCTTTGATCTCATTTAACTGGACACAAGGTTTTCCCTATGTCACCGTACACTCAGTGCTCAGTGGATGCTTCAGGTTTGCACATAACACATCTTACAAACTCTTTCAAACTCATTTTTAGGGTGCGCACAAAGACACTTTGCACATTCAACATTCAAACAAGCACAGCCCTCTTCAGACTGGATTCATCACAAATGATAAGTGGGACTTTTCCAGCCCTGTAATAACTAAAGCCAAAATAAACTACTGTTTTTTGTCCTCCTGTATCAGATTCGGAGAGACGTCCTCATATTTAAAGTGGATCTCTTTCATGTGTTCCAATTGCTTTACTTAATTGGAGACTTCTGAATGAAACTGTCCTCAGTCAAACATGTTTTTTGGCTGATCTGACAGAGAGTTATTATTTACTCGGGTATTATTGTAAAGATGGGATAAAATACAGCCCTCAGGAGAGCAACGCCCAATACAAGCTCAGGGGTTTAGTTTCACGATGGTTAAAGCGTCACCAACAACAAAGTAGGGGGTTTTGGGTCGGCATTTGTTTTCTTTTTTTGATGACAACGTTCAGGGAATGCTTAACATCACTGAGCTTTACATCATCCTCACAAGAATCGAAGTACAAACCGTGTGCGTGTGTTGTGCAGGGATGCAGACACACAGAGGTTCTCCATATCAGCTTTAATTTGCAGCCATTTTTGCTCCACTGTCCCACCTCCTGGCCGTTGCTATAGTAACTACTCGATTGTAGAAAGCCCATGTTGCCATGGTGATGTCCCGGAGAACACTGTTCCATATTTACAGCCGAGACGTCTCAGTTACTGAGAACGTTGCGGCACCGACAGAACGACCTGAACTGTGTGTGTGTATGTGTGTAGCTGTGTATCTATCTTTGTGAGGACCGATCGGACTTTGGGTGTGAGGACATTTTTGGACAGTGAGGACGTTGTGGTCGGTCCTCACTGTGGGACGAACCTTCACAGGGCTGCATGAGGGTCCTCACAAAGACAGAAGTAAAAATGAGTGTGAGTGTTGGGAGCTACGGCAGGTTGTCATCCCGCAGGCTCTCCAGGATCTGGACCAGGCTCTCCAGTCCAAACACATAGCCCCGGTCCGGCCCATCATGCACCGCCGTGTCGCCGCGGAAACCCTTGAAGGTGGAGTGGGCGAAGTCGATCATACGAACGTCCACAAGGGGGGGCTGCTGGGGCGGTGGAGGGGGAGCAGAGGGGAAGGAGATTAAACTGGGAGCCAGGGAGGGGAAGTCTGGATGCGGGTGAGGCAAGGGGGGTCGTGGGAGAAAGGAGTGGCAGTCTGACTTGGTGGGCTGGGCTTGTGTGGGAGGCGAGGGGGAGGGCGGAGCCATCAGAGAGTCCAGGTCTGGCTTCTGGCTCATGTCCGTTTGACAGGAAGCGTCGGGGCGTGGAGGTGCGGGGCCACACTGGGGCTCTGCGGGGGCCGCGGGGGTCTTCTGCTGCCAGGCTGCATGCTGCGCGGAGTGGAGGACTGAAGGGCCCTCAAGCTCCTACAGACACCATCAAACACAGAACATCAGAACAGGAACCTTTAACAATATCATGGGTCTGACAGAGCAGGCTGCAGCTTCAGAACCCTCGCTGGTCACGACAGCAGCGCCTGCCAAACGAGATGATTGCTGAAGTGCGCAGCAATCATGCAAAATATTACTTTCTGTCCCCTGTACTCATAGTTTCAGAGGATTACTCTCACAAACATGTACCCAATATCTGCACTAAAATTACTGTTTACTACTGTTACAGATGATGCACCAGTCTTTTTAATGTCCACTGCACTGTTTTATTGTTAATTACACTATTTCAATTTCCATTGCACCAGAGATACAATTTGCACATATCCATTTGTAAACATACACCATGTCACCCAAAATACTATTTCTAGTTTTATTGGTTTGTTTCACCCAGAATACTACTTTCTGTCCAAGTACTTATCATTTTAAAGGTTTGTTCCACCTAAATTATACTTTCTAACTAAGCTGTGGGCTTAAATGATTATTACATCCACAATACTATTTATAGTTTTAATGGTTTGCTCCACCCAAACTGTACACTCTAACTAACATGTTATTGGTTTAAAGGTTTATTCAACTGAGAACTGTACACCGTTCATTTTGTTGCCAGTGCCTGTGAACTACAAAAGCTAGCTGTAAAACAGTGACGTTATTGAAAAACAAGTGTCCTACAACAGCAGTCCTGGAAATGTAGCCTTCTCTGCTGCAGACACATGCTGCTCCACCTCAAACCTTTCAGCTAAACGTTGCTTTTCATTGCAGCTGCATTAACTCCTGTTTGGCCACCAGGCGGCAGCAAAAAGGAGCTGTAAACACAACTGACATTATCACCACTTGAAGAGCAATTTGCAGGCTGGATTTTTCCCTACATTTATACTTAAAGGTTCTTGTAAATGAACCTCTTGAGAAGTACATTTAGAAAACCACATTTCTAATTGTTAAACTCGACCTGGCTTCTCTGCATTTTGTGATGTCATGACCAAGCTGTGTTTTTAATGTGGGTACACATAGACATATCTTCTGCTTTATTTTCCTACACAACATTTAACTAGAGCCACACACCTGCAAGTTGCTCTTTTAGTTTATTACGAAAACCACCACAGGCTCACCTTTCCCTCATAGATGATAAGCAGTGAGGACGAGTAGAAGCGGTACGACGCCTGCCTCTCCAGTACCGCCTTCAGGCTGCGAAGCTTATTCAGGATTGGCTCAAAGAGGTCCCGCCTCAGGCCCTTTCCGTTGTGCATGTACTGGTAGAGGGCCTGGCGGAAGCCTTCGATTGACAGGCCACGGCCGTAGTACTTGTTCCTGCAGAGGTAGTGACCAGTGTTCAGCTGGTACACCTGTGGAGACAGATAGGCGACAGCTCAAACATCCGTTACTCAAGATGAGACACACCTGCCCTTCAGGTCGACTCAATACAATCCTGTTTAATTTTGTAATTCTATAATTATTCTACAGTTTCATTCAGCAGACGCTGTTGTCCAAAGCGACGTACATCTGAGAGCAGATACAACACAAGCAAGGATCTAGTCAGGAGAAAACAATCTGGATAAGTGCCATAGAACATATTTAATACTTAATAATTTTAGATTATTTTGATGCACATGCGATCAGATCCTCAAAACGAAATCCGGCCATAGTTAGTGAAACTTTTATTCATTAACACTCTGAGCAGATTTTGAGTGTTTTTTGCTACCACGTTTTTACGTTTTTACTCACTGTGGACTCATTTTTAACTGCAATATGAAGTCTTACATCTCTATGGAAAAGGTACAACCATGACTAAGAGCAGAGAAAAAAAGTCAAACATGTCTTTTGTGCAGTATGATAGTTATAACAAGAAATAACAAAAGTTGAATTTATGTGATTACTTATTTGACAAAAATTGAATAAACCTGGGATCAGCACTATTAATTTTTTTCCAAGTGCCCACAGTGTTACCAATACTGGTAAACATGGTAACTATACATAGCATAGATATAAAAATAATTTTATGCTTTTACAGATTCTGGTTAGAGCAAATGATTTATTTAAGGCATAAAAAAGAGACATACAAAATAAAGTAAACTGATGAAGTAAAATGATTTTCTGTTTTGAATTAGTTTTTTGGCGACATGACGTAATGCAGATGAGTGGTTCAAGGACCATCGGAAAGTAGAAAACGTGATGATTATGGTGTCATTTTGGTGTTTTTATTTATTTAACCTTTATAAATAAATTTGTAAAGATAAGGTGCCTTTCAAATCTGTTGGAGGGTCTTTGGGGTTAAGAGGGTTTATTTATTTCCCTAATATCAATAAGTGTGTGCATGTCCATACACTGGACTGCTTCGGCCATGCTGTTAACATCATGACTATTAGTAGCAGGAACTTAGTACCAGTGGTGTTTGTAGTCATAATTATAGTAAAGGTAGGAGTAAATCTTGCTGAAGTTGCAACACTAGAGGTTGTATTGACAGTAGTAGCACTATAATGCTGCAGGATCAATACATTACCTGATCTTACGCCTCCCTGGGGGCAAAACAGTCCATATAAATGCAATGGACCATATTTCAGTTCCATAATCTTTTTCTTAACGTATTAGGAATTCAAATATTATGATGCTTACATTTGGATTCAGAATAAATGTTTATGTCATGGATTGATTTTCTATAATGTTCAGCCATAGTTGTACCTGCATGCCACACACTCTGACTCCCAGCGTCCCTGAAGTGCTCTGTTCGCATTTCTTCATCTGCCTGGCTGCCTTCTCCTCAGAGGCGTCGTCTCCGTGCTGCCTGGTGCCCATCTTCAGGTCCAGGATGCAGGGGTACGAGAAGTGGTGAACCACGTTCTCCAACAACAGGAACTCTGAAACGCTGCTGTTAAGGAGCAATCTGTCACTTACTTCCAACCAGTCTGGAGCTTATAATCATCTCTACTTCATTTAATCGTTACTTGTGCAAATGTTGTATTAAATTTGAAGTAAACAGTTTGAGAAAAAACTATATATTGTACATGAGATAATGGTAAATCACAGAACTGCCAAGTTTAACCGATTTGTCTGCTAAATATTTTAAAATAAAATTCAACTTCCTAAAAATCTACCACATTAACAGCATACATGAAAAGGGAGGGATTGTGTCCTCTGAGCAGCTTTTCAGCTTTTAAAGCACAACATCTACAGGAAGTACAAAAGTATATAATTTCAAAGATGGTTTTTTAATATTCTATTCAAACTGTTTCTTCCTAAATTATTGAGTAGCTTCAGAAACCTCCTTCTCACACCTTTCCAACTTTAGGTTCATATTAACAACCGCATGCAACACACTGGGCTCGGTCCAATACCCGTAAATGGTAAATGGTCTGCAGTTATATAGCACCTTTGTACCTTATTGGTACTCCAAGTGCTTTACAATGTGTTTCTCATTCACCCATTCACACACACACATTCACACACTAATGGAGACAAAGCTTCCATGTAAGGTGCCTGCCTGCCATTGGAAGCAACTTGGGTTTTAGAGTCATGTGGAAGGGCGGGGGATCGATCTGCCAACCTTGCAATTAGAGGACAACCTGGTCTACCACCTGAACCACTGTGGCTCAGGCGGTGGTAGTATAGTACTACCATACTATTTAGTACGCCCGGAAAAAATAAATTGCGTGTCCCAAAACATACAGCATGCCAACAATAAGAGGATGTGTGACTACATCCAGTCACATTATGCAGTTTGCAAGCCAACATGCTTTTCAGGCCACTCTGACCCACAATCCTCTGCACAGCACAAGACACGTCACATGTGTCACTGTGTCTGTATGAATATGAACAAGCTTGGGCTGGTGACAGCATGCAGAAAGACAACTGCTCATTTGGCTTTGATGGACTTATGAGCGAGACGGTCAAAGCTTAAGGCACAATATTATGACAAAGCAGCATGTCCTGTTTGTATGCATACTGTACATATGCTATGAGGGCAGCAGCAGCACATACTAAAAGTAAAAACACAAAGTATACAATTTGGAAGGTATGGTATGAATATCTTCCTGGAAAGATTGAATCTGAACTGATTAACAAAACTAAACCATGTGTGTGAGCTGGTTCTCTTATGGCTGGTACGATGAAAACAAGACCAGCAATCATCTGTAGGTGGAGTCTTTCGCATCCACAGCAGGCTCAAAATGGCCCATTAAAACACTTTTCTGTTAAATTTGTCCTTGTACACCCAGCATATATCCATCCATTTGTCCATTAATGTTTTTCAAGTTCAGGTCTTGATGGCAGCACACCATACAGGGCATGGGAGACATCCCTCTCCATAGCAATACCAACACTGACGCTTTCTAGCTCCTCCTGGGTTATGCCGAGGTGTTCCTGGGCTATGAGCTACATAATCCCTCCAATGAGTTCTGCTCTATTTGGGGTCTCATGCCCGAACAAACCTCCAAAGGTAGGCGTCCTAATCAGATACCCGAATCATCTCAGTTGGGTCCTTATCTGCTCTGGGCTCCCTCCGGATGTCCAAGTTTCTCATCCTGTCTCTAAAGCTCATTTTAGCTGCTTGTATCCATGATCTTATTCTTTCAGTCACAACCCAGAGCTCATGACCATAGGTGAGGGTTGGAGCTGGTAAATCAAGGCATCGTCTTCCAGCTCAGCTCCAACTTCACCACAATGTTCAAGTACAGCGCTGGTATTACTGCTGAGGCTGCAGCAATATACATAATACTGTGATTAAACTTTAATTTTGGAAAAAAGGGAAGAAAATACTTTAGAATAACTTATTAATTAATGTATTAATACGTTTTGTTTTAGTACTCAACTGTCAGTATTCAAATTTGCAAATACTTCTATCACTGAGGTGGAATACATTTGACAGTCTCTCCTATCATATGGTTTAGACTATAATTACACTGTATTTATTAGGGTCCGAGGACCCCTACTTGCTGCAGCAAGCAGGGGTCCTTGCCCGAAGGGCAAGGACCCTATTGTTCCCGCTTCGTTTCTTTCTT